CGTGGATAAGGGGTTCCAGGGCTGTGGGGACCGTTCGGGGAGTTCGTCCTTTCTCCTAGTTTTACGTCTTCTCGGACGATCATAGTTTTAGGTCGTTACGGACCGCTGTGCAGTTTAAAGCCGTGCCGGGCTCGTCGTAGTTTAGTCTCTTTGCGGAGATTTCGTCGAAGTCGTCATCTGGGATCATAGAGAAGTAGTCGGGAAATGGTATTCGTGGTGGGGGGTCGTGCGTGAAACGAGAATAAATCAGGGATTTTACCCCCTCAATAAGCCGTTTAGTCTACCATGACTAATCTTCAGTCTAAAAATCGAGGCCGTCGTCAGGGCCTTCGTATTCGATGTCGTTTCCTTCTTCATCAACCATGCGCCAGTTGTGCGTCGATGGTTCTTCTAAATCCAACCATATATTTTCAATGGGATTGGAAGCAGGGTGTGGCGCGTAGAGCGCCCGAGGTTCGGAAGCGAGCGTTATTGCTTCTTCGCTTCGGTCATCGTCAGATTCCATATCTGTGAAGCGGACAAAGTGCGGTCCGACTTCTTCTTCTTCCTTCTTTACAAGACGAGCAAACTCGTCAGGGTCATTTTCTTTCAAATCCTTCAGGCTGTGGGCCTCGTTTATAAGACGAACACGTTCTAAGAACATGTCGAAGTCTGAGTCAGAAGACTGTTCTGGTGCGGGCTCCCGGTGTTGCATCATTGCATCGATGTTATCGGCGGGGATCTCCGCGGAAGGCATGGAGAGGTTCAGGGAATTCGGGATGGGGTTTTCATCGGCTGTGTCGGTATCATCAGCCGGGCTTTCGTAAAACCTGAGTTTCTTGGCTTCAGGTGGTTCTGCCGTCGACACGGCTCTTCCTTTTCCGAGAACGGAGATCGGTTCTCCGGAAAATTCAAATCTAGAGGTTGTCTGAGTTTTTTCTGGTTCAGGGGCCAGTCTGGGTGCCTTCGAGATAGGCGGTTCTTCTGTCATAACTGCACGTCCTTTTCCGAGGACTGATGCAGGCTCCGCCGAGAATCGATAAGGTTCAGGAGTCTCTTCTTTCATCGGCTGAACAGCCGGTACGATCTTCTTCGTGGGTGCGTCAGGGATGATATAGTCCGTGATTACCGCAGGTCTTACGACCTTCTTCTGAGTTGTCTCCGGATCAGTGGCCGGTTTCTTCTGCTCAAACCGTTTTGCCGCGAGGTCAATACGGGGCATCGAATCTTTCTTCACGATTTTCGAAGATCGTGCAGTGGGAATAGGGAGTTTCACGGATGGCGGGTTTCCGTGCGGTTCTTCAGGAACCGGTACAATCTTCGTTGTTGGTGCCAAGCTCATAGAAGCGAGGCCACTGGAGAAGGCGCGGGGAGTGGTCGGGGAAACGGACCTTTTCCTTTTCTGTGCGCCCTTCTTTTCTTCTTTCTGGAAGAGGGGCGTCTTGCCGTTCTTCTTCCGGTCGGAGTCTATTTCTTTTTCCTTCTTTCGGGAATCTACGGTGCTCTTAAGAGTCACCGTGCCGTTCGTCCAGTTGATGGCGGGGTTGTGGCTGATAAGCCAGGGTTGTCCAAGCATGAGCTTCTCTTTCGGAGTAAGCTCGGCAAGGTAGAACCGTTCGGTGCATACCCGTTCGTCTATCTGGAAGGAGAGGGTGCAATACCTCTCAATTGGCTTCTTTCCGAAGCTGGATCCGTCAGCGTTAGAGAGTATGAAGGGCTTCTCTAGCTGGTGCGACGAGATTCTGTGCGTTGTGCAGAAGTCCTTGTTGACAAAGGACTGGCACGCCCCTGAGTCGACGACCATAGAAGTCGCGATGGGGGTTTCTCTCGTTCTGGTTATCAGGGTGGCGTTCACCCGTAATTCGTTCTTCTTAACTCCGGTTTCTTTGACAGATTTCAACCGGAGGTCTTCTTCGATCATCTTTCTCCGCGGGGTTCTGGGCCATTGGGGGCAGTCCGCGGCTTTGTGGCCAATGACGTGGCATACAAAGCATCTTTTCTCGTTCAGGAAGATACGAGTTTCTTTTCCCGTAAGGTGGGAGGCGGCCAGGGTGTTTCGGGAAGTTGCCATATTGGAGATGGTTATCTTCGATCTTCGTAGTGTTCCGAGCAGGAAGTTTTCTACTGTGACAGCGGTTCTTATATTCTTGCGACTGGTCAGGCCGGTACGTTTCGGGGTTTCTTCTACAGATCTTCGGTAGCGTTGAAGATAGGTACGATCAGGGATCTGGCGTCACAGATGGGTGACGTGCGAGTTGGACTTTAATCTTTTGTTACGACAAACGGTCGTGTGCGACTAGGATGATCTAAACAGCGACAACCACGACAGTGGTACCGAGTGCTGAGAGTCGTCGGCCTTTACAGACAAGCAAAGGTTGCGTACTCGAACGTAGCTCGTGGTGGTTAACGAGGGGTTACGCTGAGATGATAGCAGGGTTTACAGACAGTGAGAGGCGTCACTGAAGGTACGAGTCGATGTCGAGCAGGTAGCTTTAGCGGGACAAGGAGTTCAAGGATAAAGCTAGTTGATTGGACTAGTTTCTGGGTAGTACCTAGTAAGATTAAAGTAAGGAACATCTACTTTAATCTTCGACCTTATATAAGGCTACTCTATCGTATCTAAGCTCAGCCTAAAGCTGGGTTCTAATATGCTTATCTACATGAGTCAGAGATAGCGTCCATGAGGCGGGCTTCTATCGTAGATAGCGTCCATGCGGTACGCTTCTATCAGAGATAGGATCCACGTGGTATCCTTCTATCAGTACACGAGGCAACACGAGGCTTGCCTTCTATCTTGATAACATAAATAGGTCTTCTAGACCTATGTCGTCATGTCTATGTCACGTGCGGTCCAGACCGCTGACTAAGCCGGCAGTTGCCGCTTATCGTCTCTCATCTATCATCATCTATGGAGCTGGTGAGACTCCGGTGTCGTCTATCGTCTATAGCCGTGCGAGTGGCAGAGGGCTGTCTGCCGGCGGGGGACTCGTGCCATGTTACTGTAACACCTTATGTTGGCACTTTTGTAGCTTACATAATCAAGTTACCTTTTCACCAGTTACCAGTATGAGTCAGAGTCTTGAGCAGTTTTTATGATATTTCCTCTCCTCTGAGCCTTGAGCCTGGTCCAGAAACCCTTTAGGGTCGAATAGCAGCTAGGTTCTGCAAGACCCAACATTGTTCAGACTCACCATCTGAATTGTTGTACCTTCACCGTCCTGGGTTTCTTCAGCAGATGTCTCCCGTCAGCCAAGTCATCATCCACATCATCCTCAGTATGATTAGTGGCACTCTCCTTATCACTCTCGGCTTCTGTCGACGAATCCCGAGGCCTTCGGATGGTAACCCTCTGCTGCTTTCTCACTATATGAGTCTGAGGAGAGGGCGACTTGCCAGATATGACAGATGGTACCATGTCCCCATCATTGTTCTTCCATGCTTTGAACAGAAATGTGGGACCTTTGCCTGTTTCCTGCCGAGCACACCAGAAATGGAGCAAGGCAGTCGTGTCCCAATTTTGCAGCTTCGAAGGCTCCTTCAAGTTAACATCCGCCGGAAGATACGTCCGGGCCACGAAGTCATCCTGACTTTGTACAATGGCACTCCATGGCACAACCGCCTTGTCCTTCCCGGAACATATCCCTGTGTCCATGCATTGAACAATTTGTCAGATGATGTGACGAGAAACTCACGATAGTGCGATGTAAGAAAGGCCCTCACTATGGCCTTCTTCTCCTCAAGTGTCATGTCCATGATGTTGGGAAGGAGTGGCATACCCTCCCCGTCCATTTTGAGTTCGAAAGCTGGTTTTCGAATTCTTTTTCGACCTCCCTTGACCTGACATCCTCCATCCCATGCCACTGGAGCCTATCATTGTGATGCTCAACATGTTCAATCTGGTATACATGGTTCAAACACTCACCGAACTGTTCCTGCGCTGTACTCCTGCCACACTGGCTCAATGTCCTCCCAGTCCTTCGTCTTCATGAAGCTGTCCCCATTTCCTAAGGCCTTGTTATCATCATGCCTGCATGAATATTTTGAGATGAAAGATCTGCGTCAATGGATAAATGTACTCATATCCTGAACAGCACCTCTCCCTTTTCATTCTTCCAAGCCGACATCACAAAAACTCTCATCCCACATTGCCTCCACATCTCGTTCGAAAAGTGCTCCATATATGCCGGACCCTTCTTACGAGCTACTTGTGCTTGTATCTCCGGAGGCGGACAGTTGTTGGACCACTCCTCCGCTGTTTCTTTTGCCTTCTCCAACTCATCGTCGTCCAATTCAGCCATGACTCTCTTCACCGCCGCCTGATAATGTTTGAACATACCAGGATCTCCTGGCTTTACCCCAGACTCGTCCTCAATCCTCTTCAGCACCTCTTCGCGTTTCTGCTGGTAGACCACCATCCTGGGTGTCCATTTCCTCCCATACTTGATCATGTCCTTCCTTTCCTTCTTTTTCTTGTTGTTGAACAACCAAGTCTTGTACACCTAAGAGTTGATGAAAGAATGTGATGTTGAAAATTTAGTTTTTCAACACAACAAAGAAGCCTCACCTGCTTCCTCTTTTTCCATTGTTTTTGGTCCAACTTAGGAGCAAACAACCTGGCCGCCCTTGCTATGGCAGTGAAAATCGCTCGCTTCTCACTCCTTTTGGCAGCAGTCCACTCAGGAAGGTAGTTCTTCAACTCCAAAATCTCCTTGTCCAGTGAGCTTCTGAGACTGTGGTTGATGCACCCTGTGTCTTCCGGAAGTCGTGTTGGTGGAATGACCTGTTCTTGCCATAGTGAATCAGAATGCAGAAAGGGCTAAGGATTTGCAAGGTGGAAGTATTAATGAATTGTGCGAAGTTGAACTTTGAGCAAAGCCTAATGATAGGTTAATCAGCCCATATTGGACAAGAAGCCATTAATGGAAATGAATTTGTAATGAGCCAACAGGACTGCACCACATCATATTGCAATAAAAATTCATTACACCTGAGCTGATGCCTTGCTTGCAACATTAGTAAAGAAGATGAAGATAGGTAGATGCACCCCAGTGCAAAAATCTCACAGGGTGGAAGCAAGGGGCAGCAAAGGTAGGAAGACTTGGGTCAAGGTCCCACTTGCAAGCACGAGGCGACATGCCTACAGGTCCATGCCTAACTCTCCCCCAGAATCACCAACAATTCAGCCTGTTGAGGCACCACCTCCTTGGGAAGACTTTCCTGACAATACTTACGAGCAGGACCAAGGCTCATTTGAGCCTTTGCAACTCCCAAAAACCATGGCAAGTTCATGTACAATGTTGGAGTGTCATTCAAACTATGGCTAAGCATTCAAAAATACAGAGTCAAAATGACTACCTCAGGCAATGGCTGCCAAGGCAGGAATCATATCTACATCACCTCCTCAATCGAGAAGCTCCACCAGAAGACAGGAGATGCATCATCTGCCAACAGGATGGGGTGTACAAATGTCAAGATTGTCTTGGTGAGCCACTCTATTGCACGGGCTGTTGCAGGAGTCAACATCAGTAGCAATCCTTTCCACTGGATCAGTCAATGGAATGGGTGATTCTTCGAGCGGAGTTGTCTCGCTCATGTGGGACTCATTATACACCTTGGCCATGATGGCAAACAATGTCTGACGGTCACCTGATCGGTGGAATTTGTTTGAAGAAGATGAACCTGAAGACCTGCTCGAGCCTGAAGATCTGCCATTTGTGTCCAGACCCTGAGTTCCAGCCAAAGGAAAACACCATGGTCATTGTCGACAAGTCCGGAGTTCATCACCTGGAGGTTCGATGCTGTGAATGTCCTGAATGCCATGAGTCCGGACATTCAAATGTTTCGACATGGATTTTTCCCTGCATCTTTCAACAGGCCAAAGACTGTGTTCACCTTCAGAGTGCTCAATGATTTTCTACTGGACAGCCTTGAATGCGGCACCTCGGCGATGAACTATTACAGCAAGCTCCGGCGAATGACCTCCAGCATGTTTCCACACCTTGTTCCGGTAATGCCTTACCCTCTTCATCTACTGGACATCATATTGACAAAGCACATTGCAAGGACCGATACAGAGAGCTCATGAGGGTCGCTCGACAGTGGAGGCAGTTGAAGACAATGAAATGGCATGGCTTTGGCCATCGTTCTGATAATCCGAGCACAGGAGAATTCGCATTATTTTGCCCAGCATGTCCTCAGCCTGGGATTAATGTGCTGTTGTCAGAGGATGAATCACTTGATGAGTGAGTCCTATTCTCAACCAATGTGGCCTCCATAATAATACTAGCGATCCAAGCTGGAAATACACCTGGTCATTTGTGATGGACGGAAATTTCAAAGCAGAACATCTGCATCCCATTAAGCCATTCAATAAAGTTTGGCTGTCCGATGGGCTTGGATTCATGGTAGGAAAGGACAGGTATAAAATGCATCTGGCAGAGGCTGCTGACATGGTGGAAAAATCAAGCTGCAACAACCACCGGGCAGTAAATCAAGCTAATGCTGCTCGGCACAAGTTGGAGTCCACTGGTATCGGGGGAGTTGCCTGTGCCAGACACGGTTGCTTTGTCCCTCACTCCATGGTGGATTTTCAGAAAGGCGAAAGGCAAGCCACATCCACCATTCCGCATTCACGAGTTAACCATGGGTCACTTGCAGACAAATGAACATGGACTATGCCCTTTGTGAGGCTTCCTGGCACAACATGGAAGGCATCACCAGGGCTGTCACCTTCTATGATATTAATTGTCAATACAACAAACACTTTCGGGTTCGGGTGGATCAAAGTCGATTTCTAGAAATGGCACCACAACTAACCATCATTCCCGGAATTGGGTTGTGGCACGTTCATGGCCATCAGGACAGCTGCTATGTCCGATATGCTTCTAACTTTATTAAAGGCATTGGTCGGATCGATGGAGAGATCATGGAGATGCTATGGGCACGGCTCAATCTGATCTCCCCTGCTGCTCAGGGAATGTCATCTCCCCACTGAAAGGAATGCCTTGATTATCAGATGAATGACTCCAATTTCTGCAAGATGATTCACATGAAAAGGACTTTATGCCGGAAATACAAGCTGGTGAGGAATGGCATCTCGGAAAGTGGAAAGGCATTTGACAGACTCGATGAAGCAGCACCCTCACATTTGAAGACAGAATGGTTAGCCAGGGAGAGGATAGCTCAGTCAAGCAGATTGAATGATCCTTTGATGATGGATGAATATGAGATCAATATAAAAAAGGGTACATTGAGTTCCATTGTCTCCATCGAGGTCTGAATTAATATTGCACTCAGCACCTAGCAAAAAGGAGATCGAACTTAGATTATTAGAGGAGGGTAATGCCCGCAATGCAGCACCCTCTCGCAGATCTGTGGCGACATGGATATCAACAGGGTTAGCAATTGAAGAGGCTCAGATTGCATTGCTCATCGAGGTCTGAAGGATCGGAAGAAGATCCACCGAGACACAGAGATTAGACATCGCCCATCAACACGATCGGCTCCAAGGCCAGATAGATGGATTTGCTCGGTCTGCTCTAACACATCTCAGGGAGGGATTTGATGCAGATGATGAGCCTGAGGACTTGAATGTAGACATTCTAGATGATCTCGATGATGACCCGGCGGATTTCACAGAGACATCTCATACATGGACAAACTCTCCCGAGCTCACTGTAATCCTGTTGCCATCAAACCTGGGGGTTGATAGATGCAGACAATGCATGGCAGAGGATCTGATTCCCCTGGAGATGTCGCTTCATGAAGGGCAGGCCAATGATGCCCTTCACAATCTCCACATTTACCTTTGCAACAAGGTCATCCTGTTCCGAACAACCGTTAGGCAGGCCAAATCCCAGGCCCTGAAAACTCGAGCTTGGTCCCAGGTGACGTTGGTGCAGCAGGCAGTCTCCCTCCATGCCAACATATATGCAAAGACCAGGAAGCAAATGATGAAACTTGAGCCGGGACAAGACCAGCTTCAGAAATACAAACCCCTGCTTTGTGAGCAACTCAAAATCAGCACTGCAGTGGGCAACCCAAATGCCCGAGGTCAACGAAATGAATCTTTGGCTTGGTTTTGGTCTGTTGAAGTCGACCTCGGGGGTCCTGATCAATCTTGGAATGAGGAATGTGAGTTCCTGCTTGCATGTCATATCCCGTGGTTACCTGACTGGACCCATGCCAAGTTTACCGAGTCCATTGGCTCAGGGCAAAGGCACTACGAGATCGATGGAGGGAAGAAATGATATTGGTCAAATTGGAGATGGATTGGACATGTAAGTTCTTTTTGTGGAAAGCAACCCAATGGGGTGACCACATGCAGGAATCATTGGAGAAACACCTTCCGGGTCACGGATGCTATGCCGGAAGGCAATCCCAAATGTATTCATTGCTTGCACAGGATGCGCAGGCAGCTTTTCAAGACCTACAAAATGTGTTGATAGAGGCTGGAGATGAATGAACATTGTTTTCTCATGAAGTCCCTTTTTCCACATACATAATTGAGGCCCGGGAATTGTCCGGGTCAGCCCATGTCAGAGTTTGAATTTTGTATCCATCCATCAGTGATTCTTATATTCACATCTTCACCATCTTTCACTTGCATTGCCAGCGCCATAGTCCTGTATTAGCCATGCCTGCAACTCCTGCATCCACTTCTGGCACTCTGAATGCCGGAAGCCATTACTGACCCCTGAAGCTGAGCCTTGCAACTATTTCCTGCACATTGGCAATGGCTGGATCGCGGGTCCATGCATGCATCTCTCAATATCGGATGGAAGCTGCCAACAATGGTCTATCTTCTGACCGGATCAAGTATTTTAAAGCCGGGCTGCAATGGGAGATGAATGTATGTTACCACTGCCCTGATGACTTTGTTGGTCAATGCTAAGAATTTGAGCAGACTTTTGTCACACCACTCCTGCAGTACTCCGCTTCACAGAATATTGTGTTGGTTCTTCCGATCCCTGTCGCTTATATCCTTAAGTTGTATCCCATGCTAACCTGGAACATGGTTCCGGACAATGTCTTTTCATTCCACCTCCTTTCATTTCATGATGAGGCAATTGCAGGACATCCGTTGTAGGGATTCATTTCTGGCTGGGCTTGCAGAGACTGTTTTTACCTTAGTGTTAAGTCGGGATATCCGGAGAAATTTACGATTAGCTAATGTATATTCTGTAAAAGGGATTTGTCTCAGATTCGTTGGGAAAAAAAGGGAATCCCACATCACGTGACATATGGTTGGAATTCTGCATTGTCCTGCCGCCGCATTGTCCTGCCGCATGATCCTGCCGTAACTTTTCGTCCTAGGACGAAAAATTATGGCACGTTGCATTGAAAGTCTGAAGGTACATACTAAGTGTAGAACATTAAATTACCAGTAATAGAAAATTGCGAGCATTAAAGTATCAATACAAATCACTGACAAACCAAGCAGACTCCTCAAGTTCTGCAGTCAAATCACCATCTGGCAGATGAAGCAGACTCCTCAGGTATCAATATATATATATATAGTATATGTTGGGATATAAAACATCCGCCAGGCACCTAATCATGGAAGCAAAAAAAAATCACAATGTTGGTGGGTGCATCCACACCCAGCTGAGAGCCTGCCCGAAAGTCTGAGATTTACAAAATTTACAAAATTTACAGTGTATTTCTCCTTCTCCCGCACTTTACTCACTTTACCCACTCAAAATCGCACTTTACAGTACTTTACATGTAACTACGTCCTTCAAGCCCTCCTCCTCTCGCTCCAACTCATCCTACACAGCTATCATAAATGGGTGGCTTAGGTGTCACGATCACGTGACTTCACCTTCCTCCGCTGTGCAACTCTTCAGTCCCTGCCATGCACAATACCACTGGTGAACGCCTCCAACAACATCAACACCTCTCCTGGAGAAGGTACTTTTTTATTTTATTATTCATTTGTGGTTCCCACTTGTACTTTACAGGGCCTCAGGACTTTATGCCAACAACAAACAGTTGATTGGTGATGCTGCCCAGAACCAGGCCACTATGAGCCCCCACAACGTGTAAGTTTTGACCTCTTTTTTCCATTTCTTGTGCTAACACATCTTGGCAGTGTATTTGATGCCAAGGTCCAGTCGGACATCAAGCACTTCCCCTTCACTGTTTTCAACAAGGCTGGTAAGCCTCACATCCGAGTGGAGCAGGAGTTTTCTCCCGAGGAAATCTCGTCGATGGTTCTTCTTAAGATGAAGGAGACCGCTGAGTCCTACTTGGGCTACAATATCAGCGACACCATCATCACCGTCCCTGCCTACTTCAACGACTCTCAGAGACAGGCTACAAAAGACACTGGTACCATCTCTGGAATGAATGTTCTTCGTATTGGTGATGCTGCTCAGAACCAGGCCACTGTTACAGGCATCTGTAACACCTACAGGAGCCCCAGCTCTGCCTACACCTGCCCCCGCTCTACTAGACTCCCCGCGCGGCGGTGCGCCGCCTGCGCCTAGAAAGACAGCGGTCTGGACCGCTATGACCCCGCCCCTGGCGCTATGACCCCGCCCCTGGCCTAGACGGCCTTGTACCTGATCCATGGAGGCTGTACGCCTCATGGTCACCCTAGATCAGCGCATGCATACCGCATGTTGCTTCATGAAGATCCGGAGCGCTCTTGGCACTTCCTGTACCTATGCGCAGCTGCCCTTGGCGCAGCATGCTTGATCAGAGGTTAAGCCTCATGTATCTTATCTGACCTCATGTCTTGTTATCATAGATCCTCGATATACTATAGATTACAGACTGAGCTAGAATACCTATATGTAGCACATATAAGTAGACAGATTATTGTACTTAGACTTTACTTTAATCTACTAGGTTCATCCCCAGAACTTGCTCAACTAAGCCTTACCAGCTTCCTTGTGTGAGACCACACTTCTAAGTCGCCCCCTTACGACTTAGCACGTATCCGCTAGCCCTGTATCTCGACGAGCGCCATCTTACCGAGATCACCGGAGGAACCCTTGATGTTCCGTCAAGCCGAGAACCACCCTCAGCTTCAGTAGGCTCACTCGAGCCGTCGCTGAGAAGACCTATCCTAGTTCGCACACACCGACCGACGGTCAGCGTAACAGCCGCTATGAGCCCCCACAAAATGTAAGTTTTGACCTCTTTCATTTCTTATGCTAACGCATCTTGGTAGTGTTTCTGATGCCAAGGTCCAGTCGGACATCAAGCACTTCCCCTTCACTGTTTTCAATGAGGCCAGTAAGCCTCACATCCAAGTGGAGCAGGAGCTTTCTCCCGAGGAAATCTCGTCGATGGTTCTTCTTAAGATGAAGGAGACTGCTGAGTCCTACTTGGGCTACAATATCAGCGACGCTGTTGTCACCGTCCCTGCCTACTTCGACGACTCTCAGAGACAGGCTACAAAAGACGCTGGTACCATCTCTGGAATGAACATTCTCCATATCATCAATGAGCCCACTGCTGCTGCCAAGTTTTCTCCTGAGGAAATCTCGTCGATGGTTCTTCATAAGATGAAGGAGACCACTGAGTCCTACTTGGGATACAATATTAGCAATGCTGTCATCACCATCCCTGCCTACTTCAACGACTCCCAGAGACAGGCTACAAAAGACACTGGTCCTATCTCTGGAATGAACGTTCTCCATATCATCAACGAGCCCACTGCTGCTGCCATCGCATATGGTCTCGACAAAAAGGTTATTGATGAGCGCAAGCACAAGAAGGGTGAGTGATTATCTTATATATCATCGGCAACCCAGGCTTCCATTGAAATTGACTCCCTCTTTTACTTCTATAGTTCTCTTACTGGCACTCATTTTGAGGAGCTGTGCATGGACCTGTTATGCAGCACGCTCACGCCTGTCAAGAAGGTCCTCCAGGACTCCAAGATTGACAAGGCGGAGCGGCAAGCAGTATGGTCATGCTAACTCCGAGATATTCCAGCATACTCCCGACGTATTCCTCGTATCATTAAGCTCGTGTCTGATTTCAGACTGCTTGTGGTCAGGTGACATTCAAATCTACCCCTTTTTATTCAGCCCCCTTTCAACAAACTTCCATCGTTGTCTACTACCATCACGACTCATCATGGGAATCCGTGGACTATGGGAGGTGAGCTGAGATTTTCTTGCTTTTGGCTGCAGGTACTGATGTTCATTGCAGCGAGTCGCTTTATCTGCTGAAAACCGAACTCTCAAGGAACTTGCAGTGTCAGAGCTGAAGACTGAAGACGTTGAAGGTGACTGCAAGCTCCGATTATTTAAGATTGGGATTGATGCTAGGTATGATGCTTCTCTTCTTTTGTTTGTTCGTCAAACTCACTTATGCTGTTAGCCTGTGGATGCACAGTGTCTGCACTGTCTTTTGAATCAACCATGCAGGAGCTGGAAAGTCGCCAGAGCTGCGGACACTATTCTTTCGACTGCGGACACTGCTGAAGCTGCCACTGCATGCAGTCTTTGTCTTTGATGGCCTCGAGTGCTTGCCTGACAAAGGCCACAAGGCTAGAAGCAGCCCCCACTGGCTCACTTGCGACTTCCAGCACATGCTGGAGTTGTTTGGCTTTCACTGGACTGAGGTATGTTCTCTCTCCTTGTGATGTCTCCGTCTCACCAATATCATACCAGGCCCCAAGCGAAGCTGAAGCGGAGCTGGCTGCCATGAATGTCCACGGTGTCATTGACGCTGTGATGACTGAGGACAGCGATAGGGAGTGGTACCAAGGTGCCAATCGACGGTTCGCGTCAAAGTATCACCAGAGGGCAACTATTGCATTGGAGTTCATTAATCAGTAAGTCGATGCTGACACTCACTCCACTGGCATGCACGCTCACCCTTTGTTTCGTCTCCAGGTACAAATCAAATGAGGCACGCTTCCTCACAGCTTATCCAGAGGCCGAACTGGGGCACACACAGTTGTTGAAGGCTATTAATAAGGCACGCACGGCGCGAGGGGAGCGTGTCTCTCGCAGCAAGTGACATTCAGCGCCAAGGTGGGTATCACCAGCAGTTGCCAAGACCTCGAAGACACTGTCATCGATCCAAGATCTCTCATATATAATTTGAGACTCGCCACCCTTCTTAGTATTAAGACCATAGGCGCTAGCGGCAGTGGTAGGCTTGTTGATATGAAGAATATTCAACCCAGCAATTGTATCAGCATCCTTGGTGGCTCAACTCACTACTGTGTGGGTGACCTTCTCACCAAGAAAGGCCTCCGTGGTCTCCTTCATCTTCATCAGAATCATGGCACTAATCTCCTCCAGAGCAAATCCCATCCCAAGTCCAGGCAAATGAGTCGAAAATAGCGTTAGTTGAAAGATTTGAATGGTAACTGATTTCAAGTCGTCCACTTTCGACACAGGCAAGTGAGACGTTTGGTGTCGAAAACAGTGTTAGTTGGATTTGAATGGAACTGATGAGTTCCCCCCACTCATCATAACTCACGCCATCACAAGAATCTGGTGAGGTCAGCAAATCCCGGCTCGAAAAGGTAATCGATTGGTGTCATGTGCCTCGCGTGGCATTTTGGCTGAGCGCCACCGTAAATTTCTCGACATAAGTTTGCACTTTTGTAGCTTACATAATCAAGTTACCTTTTCACCAGTTACCAGTATGAGTCAGAGTCTTCAGCAAGTTTTGATGACATTTCCTCTCCTCTGAGCCTTGAGCCTGGTCCAGAAACCCTTTAGGGTTGAATAGCAGCTAGGTTCTGCAAGACCCAACATTGTTCAGACTCACCATCTGAATTGTTGTACCTTCAACTGGAGCCCACTGCGAGGGTTTCTTGTGTTTCTAGGCTCTTCCAGCTCTCCAACCATCCCACAAATTCGCCTATTATCCTACCACAGTCATTCCTTATCAGCTTCTCCCACAATTCCCAGTTTTCAGCATCTTCTCCTCCTCCCCAGCGCACTGATAGGTGTTTTTCTCACGCATTTTTCGAGCGGATCTCTCGCAAACTTAGGGTCGTATTCCCCACGTCCGTCCGATCATTTTGAGCCCTGGCTCATCGAATTTGGAGCAGTAGTGGTGGAGTTATCGAGTTTTTGGTGTTTTTGAGAAGTTGAGGGGAGATAAGGGTTTTCTGGGTGCTCAAAGGCCTGTCTCATTTAGCTCTTTTGGCCATTTACCATCCTTCAGTGGCTCTGTCCATTGCCCCAATCCGCTTCTTGATAGGACCAGCCCTTGTTGTCCTGCACCTTACCCCTTCCTCCTCCTTCCTCTTGCACCTCCGCACTTTGTTGCACTTTCACCAGCCCATTTCGCATCGGAACCCCCTCGACCCTATAACCGTTTTGAAGCCCTCATTCATGGCTTTCATTCGCGCCCATCGGCGCCACGATCCGCTGCGCCGTTCGCCCACCATTCGCGTTTTTCGCCGTTCCTCTATTTTATCGCACTTTTACACCATTTTATCTATATCTTTTCACCCCTTCATCGCGCACCTATCAACCCTATACTCATTCTGACCGCATTTGCCGCCGCTGTCCATCCGTTCGATCCGCTTCCCGATACGTCCGCACGTTCCTCCGCAATCCACCATTCTCGCGTTTCTCTCCCTTTTCCACCATTTCCCTTGTTTCTCACTCAATTCTTGACCAAACCTAGTCGACCCTATACTCATTTCGAAGCCCTCGTTCGCCTCTTTCGATCCGTCTACTCCCCCCTCGTCATCCATGCAACCATCATCGCATTTTACATCACTTTATCATCGCTGCTCCTCCAGTACTCAAAGCAAAGTCTGGAGATTATCGTTTTATTGCATTGCCTGACCCTCACTCACTGGCGCAGTTTACCTGGCATACACGTCAAGGAAACAAAAGGTGTTTGAGGACCCCCGAGTTCCAATTATTGAATACCAAGGCTCGCATCCAAATTATTCAGTCCCATATATCACTTCGCAAATGCTCAAAATTGAGTATTGAGGTCCGGATAACTATTGGTACATGGTATTCATTTGTTGGAATGTATATAGGTCACAATGCTTGCTCTTTGTTTGATCTTTCACACGCTGTATGGACCATCCACACTAGCCCATCCACATGATGGAACACCAGCATAAATGTGAACAGAATCCCTCATATACCATGCCCAAGCAATCCGATCCCCTTCCACATCATAAACTCCATGTCTCACAATCCTTCCGGAAAACACAATCATACAGCCGGAATTGTACTTGAACTCCAGCTGAAGGCTTGGCATTGTCATCCGAGCATCAGAATAGTTTCCCACGGTGGTGAGAATGTCGAAGCATTCAGCAATAGACAAATGGTCTCAATGATTGGGGGTTTCCTGATTGTAAATGATGGAGAGGGTGTTAAACACAGATGCCCAGTACTGCAGGGCCTCCGGCATCTGTGGCAGATCCTTGCTTACTGCTATATGTCCGAGGTTGGACAAGGTTCGCAACCCTGCCCAGTACTGCTCAGGATGCATGACCCTGAGTGCCGCGGACACGATGGCTGCTGGCCTTGCAATGGCTTTGAGGATATTCTCCCAGGAAGGTCCCTTCAATGATGCAGATACCTCCAGATCGGACACAGTCTTTGGGATTGGTGAGTATGACTGCTGGAATCACCATCTCATGGGATCCTACCTCGTGTCCCTGTTGAAACCATGCCGGAGATAAATTGATACATCGGGAGTTGCGCCAACATCATCCGAGCCCTGTTTGAACCACTTTTGATTAGTTCGCCAAATGCCATCAGCCCTTACACTTTTTTCGAGGCTTGGAGCGAGCAAATCGGTGGCCTCCCTGATTTCCTTCTGTAGGTTCCATTTGATATTCAATATCCATTGAGTAACAATGTATATTACACACCTGGGTGGTGTCGGTCAGGGTGTCTGGGAGGTACCATGCGATGATGGCACCGGATGCATCGAGAATTGTGGCAGGTTCGTCGACCAACCTTTTGCCTTCATGGCCAGGAGAACACCTCTCAAGCAACCTCGCCTCTCTTTGTTCATTATGCCCGGTGTCCTTCGGGGAGATCAATTTGCTATATCTTGCAATATCCATCTGCATCTGAACTGTCATGCAGGAATTTGAATGATAAAACAAATCTTCCAAATCTGCAGGAAGACCCACTGGGATTTTTATATGCCTTTATGAGTACATCAGCCAAGCAATCACATGCCATCACCAGATCAGTGTCTAGGTTGGGGGAAGGTATGACTGGGCCTCCTCCAGTCTTCTCTGTCTTGAATTTCTGTTCGGTATATTCCGCTGCTTCATAAATCACAGTCAGGGCCCAAGTGCGCCAGATGTTTATGCTATCAGGAGTGGAAGGGGAAGAACCGTTCATGCTGGATGTTAATCTTGGGAAATCAGACACTGAATGCTGGATGTCTGGACTTTGGTGTTAAAGGGGGTGGAGATAGAGAGGATCAGATAAGGGAGCCTGGGATAATTTTGGCTGTCAAAGATGTATTATTATCCATTGCTCAATGAAATACTACCTGATTGGAAGTGTGCTGGTCGACAAATATTCATTTGTCGATTCCCGGGTCCCGGAACTCGGAAGTCAGTATGGTTGACCCAAATTTGGGTGGTCGGAACTTGGCGTCTCGTAGGGCAACACAAGCTTCACACCGCCATGTCAGGAGATCACCTGCTGCTCCGGGAACTCGGTAACTTTGATTTATTACCTCCTCTGAGTACAGTTGACTCACATTTTGGTGGTTGGAACTTGGCTTCTCGTAGGGCAACACAAGCTTCGCACCCCGGATTCCACATTCTGCATGACAACCTACGCACCATCAAAGGCCATGTCAAGAGAGCACCTGCTGCTCTCTTCAGAAACATCTCAACTTCGGTTGGCCATTTAACACCGAAAGTATTAACTAAATTATGTGTTGAGTTCCGGGTCCCGGAACTTGGAACTCGGTACAGTTGACTCAAATTCTGGTGGTCGAAACTTGGCTTCTTGTAGGGCAACACAAGCTTCACACCCCAGATTCCACATTCTGCAAGACAACCTGTGCACCATCAAAGGCCATGTTAGGAGATCACCTGCTGCTCCGGGAACTTGGTAACTTTGATTTATTACCTCCTCTGATTTGGTTGATGTACAACTACCTCAGCTCCATCAAAGGCCATGTCAGGAGATCACCTGCTGCTCCGGGAACTTGGTAACTTTGATTTATTACCTCCTCTGATTTGGTTGATGTACAACTACCTCAGCTCCATCAAAGGCCATGTCAGGAGATCACCTGCTGCTCCGGGAACTTGGTAACTTTGATTTATTACCTCCTCTGATTTGGTTGATGTACAACTACCTCAGCTCCATCATGTCTACAATTATGATACACATGGGCCCACCCATCTATATTTATACCACCCTCAGCCCACCCGTCTAATTAATATGTGTCTGGGCCCACCCGTGAATGTGATAACAAGTACCTACCCATCTATCTCATACACATCTACCTTGATACACCCATCTGCATAATATCCAACTACCTCGGCCCACCCGTCTACCTAATATTCATGTACATCGGCCCACTCATCTACTCTATATATTCCCTGCATGGGCCTACCCGCCTCCATCGGGAATAATTTGCCTCCCGGCCCATTCGTCACAGTCGAGGATATTTTTATCATGGGCCCATGGTCCGCTGGCCCGTATCATACGGGATATTATGCATGTCCGTTCCCTCGTATTATATGGAGATAGGTCACTGTAATATGTGCTACTACAATGCTAACGGCTAGTGTTTACAGGTCAGAGTCGCCGAGACGGCACTATAAAAATGATCACCGGTAAGTTCTTGTCAATTAGAAGATGTCTCAGTACTCACCTTAGTTCCGTCTCAATCCCTGTACCAGAGTCTCCCCTTGAGTCTTTTCCAGAACCCCAGCAAAGCATCCATGCCCTCTGCATCCACCTCCACATCCTCTGTGTCTCATTCAGCTTTGACTGCTGCATCAGCCCTGACTGCTAGATCAGTCCACTGGTGCCTCCTCACATGGCGTCCACAATAACTCGTTTTTGAAGTCATGAACTTAACTAGTGTCTTGTTAATCAATTATGGATGCAATGAATACTTATAATACTTACTACACTTTTTGTACTTGGAGTATCTGAACTTACTTTTACATGCTTATTTGTGCTTTTTCGTACTTGTTTGTCTTGCGCTTCTTTTCGACTTGCCAACACAATGCACCAAGTAAATAAAGGTAATAAGTCATAAATAAGTTTCAATTTTTGAAAAAAAGTTGGGTCAAGAAATGTGCAAATGTACTGATGCAGAGACATGACAGATGTTGATGAGTTCTATAGGCATCGATGGAGTGCAGGAGCACTCGAATGATGGTCACAGTGGAGCCTCAAAGGGGCTGAAGTGGAGCATGCACATGGCGTCAACACCATATTGAAAATTGCTCCATTCTTATAATATGTAGAATAGACCACTTTTTTGTTTGTTTGTGTGACTGCTCCTCCTCCAGGGGCAATTTAACATAGGATAGGGTACAAAACACTTACACATTTTTGCCCCTTTGATGAGGAAGTGTTATATTATATTCAGAACATGTTTGAGAGTATATATGAAGACATTCCCATCTTTATTTGACCCCCTGAAGTGTCCTACATCAATAGATATAGCATATATATAGGAAAACACAAAATATGGTCCCATTTGATTATTTCTAGATGGATAGACTTGAAAAATAATCCCCAGCATATGTTCAACAGTAGGAACAATGTATCAGGAGCCCAGGACCATAGGATAATCCGCTGTTGCATAGTGTGCCCCCCCCCCCTCTCCTGGTGGTTTACACCCTGTGAAAGATTTTCCTGCAGGACTGGACCTTAATTGAGGTGAGGAGTCTATTTCTATGTATATTTGGAGTATATCCATCATATAGCTGGACCAGGACACACATAGGATCTTGCTACAGGAACAAAAACATGGAAAATGATATTTGTGACATTTTTAATGTTTTTAAGTATCTTACTCTTGCATAAATAATCCAGCCTGTTCATATATCATTAGAATAGCATATATACTTGCTTTTTATGACAAGGATCAGCCCTACATAGGGCGCAAATTTGAGATCTGATGTACAGAGGGTATTTCTACTGATAAGGAGCTCATATTGTCAAAACATCGATATTTGATGATCAGACACCTGGAGTAGATTTCCAATACATCCAGTATTATATATATAAATTCACAGGATAATCCAACAATAATTGAGTGCTGAGGAAGTGAAATTGATAAGAAATTGAGTGTGGGAAAGTTCAAAGACCCAAAACATCGAAAATCAAGAGGTGTGTGATCGAGAAGTTCAAGACACTAACCTCAGAAACTTCAAAGACACCTATGCCTACTGTGACTGCATGATGACAGCATAACCAATCACTTAATTTAACCATATTAAGTAGTTGTTCAGTACAAGGACATTGTAACCAAAGCAGAACGAGAATGCAATGTAAAGTGTAGCATGCATGCATGGATGTGTAGGACAGTCTATGTGTAGCTGTTAGCTTTCGTGTTGGCACGTGCAAATCAGATGTATTTATCAATGGCATAGGCTGATTTTACAGAAAGTAGTACAGGTATATGAGGCTTTTTGGGCTTGAACCTGAAGGGTTCACGACCCGAAGCATCATTTTGGAATCTGAAAGAAAGACCATGATGAGCCGTGATTCCCAAAAACTGGAAGGAGCCCTGCGATGCGTTAGGCGCAGCATGGACACCCGTTCAGAAGGAGGAGGGCGAGATAATTGAGTGATTGCTTACCTCTTAGTGCGCCGGAGGCATGGTGTATCTGGTGAAAGGTTCCAGTGCCGGAGATTCTTGGAGATATGGAGCTAATATCAACGCGTGCTTCCGCAGGTAGCCTGTGAAGGCCTCACTAGACCACCTCCCCATGGTTTTTACAACATCGAATGGAATCCCGCGAAGCAGATATTCTAACGTCCCTCCGATTCTCAATCTGTGGCCTTTGAGATCTCCTAGTCTCGCTCTTTTCACTATGCCTCCGATTCTCTTCCAGAATTCGCTTCTAGTGAGCAGCCTCGATCCTTTATTGTGTTTCCACGCGAATAAATGATCTTTGAGTCGCAGGTTGTTCACTTCAAAATGATTCCAGAGAGCTGCCATTGGATCCGCTAAGTTCTCTTGACGCGCCCAGTAAACACCTTCACCAACTGCAGACACTTTCGTGCATGGTAAGAAAATTCTTGTGGCCCGAAAACCGTGCCGGTCTTCAACATCAAATTCTATGTCTGAACGTTTGACGTTGTTCTTCGGATCAAACATTTTGATAGTCTTAACGGTGAGTTCTCCTAGCCTGCACAGAGCATAAAATGCACTCGTTAAGCATGCAAATACAGCTGCGTCCAGGGGAGTTGTTAAGTTGAGGTGAGATCGGATGATTAGGATGAGTTTGACTGTGAACGGTTCGTGTTTGCTTCGCTTGGATGTAGCCGGCGCAAGTTCCACTGCACCTTCTAGAGCTGCCTTTAGTTCGTCTTGTTGAACTAGCCAGGGTTGACCATGGAGCGTATGCCATGCCCTTATCGTGTAGACGTAGTTCATTAGTGTTTTTCCAGAATACGAACCTGCGCAGCTCGAAACGAAGTTCAAAAGTGTTCTTGTATCCACTGGGCATCTCTGGCTTTCTGGGACTTTCCTTTCGTCACAAAAAACGTGGAATACCAGCAGCCCTGTGCCATAACACTCCTGCGTTCCTACTGCCCATGACAGGTTCATGACCGTTAACACTCTTTCTAGATCTTCTTCCAAGATGGCCAAGATTCTCCCGTCTGTGCCCGATGCTGCCCGCGACTCCAACGGAAACCATAACTTTAGTCTCTCTCGAGCTAAACAATGGGGATGGAGTAAAGATGGAATCAGTGTGAGTCCATTCTTGTAAGGTAAAGGAGTTGCGGTATGTGCTGCGGGAATTGGCACTCTGAACTTCGGATTGTTAATTATTGACCCGTTGGTGTTGGTGTATGAAATAGATTGAGTCTCCGTCGAATTGAGGTTTGTTGCTTCATTCTGCATCGGAATGATTATGAGAAGAGAGGTTGCAGGAGAGGGACGAGAAGTCATCCGTGCTGTAGTCTGCTGGGTCTGTGGATACGATGAAGGGGTCGACGATGAAACAATGGAGTTCAGTGGCGATTGGGAGGGAAGGCAGCAAGAACTCCGAACTTCCGTAGATTCCTCTAGATGGTGTGTCCGCTGGGTTTTTCTTACTTTCGACGTAGGTTGGGTAAATTGAGTAAGGTGTGGGGGAATCGTAGATATGATCAAAGATTTGCTTGAAGACAGCGTTGACCGAAGCGTTTCTACTCCTTCCATTACGCCAGCCTTCGATAACACCTTGGTTGTCGCCGTAGACCCTAAAATGTCTTTGCGATCCTCCCAAGCCGATAATGTGTTGAGTAAGCAGTTCGAATCCGACAGCTTTGGCCCATCCGATATCTTTCTGACCGTTGAGGGTTTGCCAACCCTTCCGAAGTCTCCACGCTCGCCATCTGTTCCCAATGACGATAGCAATTCCAACGCCCGAGCTGGCATCTGAGTACGCTGCTGGGTCATGGAGCGACAAGGGCCTAGGTATTGTCCTTCTGACAAATGGGCTCTGGAGAAGCGTTTTCCACCAGGTGAGGTCCGCTTCCAGGGTTTTGACCAGTCTCCGTGGGAGAAAGGGCTTGTCGAAGGCAAGGCGTAGCATAGCCTCTAAGGACGTAAGATGCATGCGGCCTCACGGGATAATAAGTGACGTGTGCAATAATTTACCATATAGTTGCTGCACATCAAGAAGTGCATGTGTGCCACGCTGCTGCCATACCCCGATCGCCGAAAGATATTTCTGTTTCTTCTCCTTGGATAGGTATACGTTATCTTGCGCCAAGTCCCACATAAATCCGATGTACGAGTTAGAATACGCGAAAGGTTTGTCTTTAAGCTCTTCCCATGGGATCTTAAGGTCGAGTGATACCTCATCAATGTCAGTGATGTTGCATGAGAACCGTGCATCTTCAGGTGTTCTCGGTGAAGCTTCTGAAAGATCCATGATAGGAAAGCGACAGTCTTCGTCGAAAACTTCCAATGTACCATCCTCAAAGATATGACCTCCGTACCATATTCTGCCTCCGTCCTGATGCCATCCTTTCGCTGTGATTTCCTGATGCCATTTCCTCCTTTCCTTGTTGTATGACGCAATGTACTCCTTGAGGATGCGTATGAAGAGATGGTCATCGACCCATCTCAAAGCTGGTCCGATGCCTTTTGATCAAAAGATGTCCAGTCCGGCATCAGCAAGCGTACCATATGCTCCAGCTGACGGATGCAGTCCAAAACACATACAAGTGTCGATGCAAAAAAGATCATCAGAAACTCGCACCACCGAACCCGGCCATTGTGACGCGTGAATCGGAACTGTGCGATAGGCTTCGGAAACATCCCGAATTGCCATTTGCGAACCCGGCGGTAGCCGACTGATGGTGAGTGTGAGCACATGAAACGTGCCCCAAGTACTTGGAAAATTATCTGGATTAATATAAGAGTTGATTGAAGTGTTTGGAAATCTTGCTGAGAGAGTGTGAGGAAAGGAATAGTTTTGTATGACGCGATAATGACCAGGTCGCCCTGGTTTGGGTATAATAGAGAAGGGAGAGGTTTGAAAAGGTCCAACAAGACTTTCGACTTCATTAAATTTAAGCGGACCAATGTATCGTCCTTTCTTAAGTTCGGTTTGCACAATAGAAAGAAACTCTTGTCGATATACAGAAATGGATTCTTTGTTAGGAGGTGCCTGAGTGACTTTAATATTAGGAATGTCCAAAGAAAAACTGTGGCGAAGACCATCAGGAATATGCGGATATCTATCAATAAGACCAGTTGCGACCAATTGTGCTTCCCAGGCATCCGGGTCGTACGGGGTGTGCGCTTTAAGCTTTCTGAGCTTGAGGACACGTTTGAGCGCTGTGAGACGCGATTCCGCATCCTGAACAAAAATGTCTTCGGTCGTGCGTGACTTCGGCACAACCGCTGACTCTCTGCCAGTCGCTGCAAATAGCTCTTCCGTCTCGCATTGTGAGAATTCTGCTGACTCGTGAGCACAGAGTGTCGAAGGATTCGTCCCAAAGCTTGACTGCTTTGCATTCGATGATTTTGTGAGGATTCTGTCCCAAACATACGGCACAAGCGGAGAGGACACCTCCGCTTGTGCCTGCCCAAAAATCCTGGCGAGGTTTCTTATGCTTGTTGCCTTGCTCAGGTGAGGGCGAACATTTGCGTGACTCTTTGTAGTCACGTGGTCTCGACGACAAGAAGACTCGTTGATCCGACTGTTAGGGAACAAAGATGCATGTGGCATGCAGCATTTGTTGTGAAGCATGTAGCGTAGAGGTTGTAGCGTGAGGCACATGGCATAGAGCCAGTATGATGAAGCATGAAGCATATGTTTTGAGGCATAATTAAATGCAACAGACAAAATATAACGATCTTTGATGAGCAACATTCGAAACATTAACGATAACGAAGGCTGACCTTGTAGTCTCTCGCGTTATCTTTCTTGAGCCGATCCTCCCAATATACTCTGCTTCTCGTGTCCTCTAATACTTTCTCGTTGACAACCGATATATTGTATGGGCCAATCGAAGATTTAGCTGCTATGTGCCAGCGTTTACGCTGCTTGGCTTGGTATACCAAGAGCGTCTTCTGAGCTAACGGATCTTGGAGAGAGCGATAGCTGTGAACTTGCAAATTCCTCCAGAATAGTGCGGTCATTCTGATTCTGTCCTGAGGCCAACCCGCTTCTTCTATTGCCATTAGAAAACGGGGACACGCTTGACAGAATTCTTCAAATGGTAGGTTCTCATCATTGATTATGGAGCGCGCACTCCGTGTTGTGGCTGACGCTATCCATGCTGTGGAACCGTCAGCTAGAGTTGACAATACCATCGCGTCATCATCTATTGTCTTTTTAACTGACGCTTCATCCAACCCGTCATTGGTAAAGTACCAAAGCTCGACGTATTCTCCCTTGTCCAGCTTGCGAAGAGCGTATGAGGACAGAGTGATAGCAGGTTCATTAGGAATTCCGCTGTTCTGAATTGGGATGTACTTGTACTTATTTTTCTTCCGTTCTTCCTTGCGCGCATCTTCTTCCTCGTTAGCACGTTCTTGGTTTGTCCGTTCTTGCTCTTCGTCTTCGAGACGCTGACGATGAGCCTGTTCCTCTCTGTCATCGTTCCTCTGCTGTTGCCATCGACGCTTGTCCAAGTTGTTGCTGGCTTCCCAAATATTCCTAAGTATTTGAATAGCTCAAACGTCCGTGGTATTCTCATTGATGAGTTGCGCTCGGGTATCGACAAAGTCTTCCGAAGCATAGTCAGGGCAGACTTGTAAATTCGGGTCATTCTGAATGCGAGGCATTTAAGATATATGATAAAGCTTCAGATAGAAAATGCAACGAAATGAGCGTGTATTTGCGTAGTCGAGTACTTGCAAGTGCTAAGTGGAAGTACGAGACAAGGAGGGTGGGAAAAGCTGATCCGCCACATAGACATCATTCTATGTTTGTCCTTGTTCCTTGGACTCACATAGAATACAATACAAGTAGCAAGCATAAAGACAGGCAACGACAAGCAAAATCGACATCCTAAGGTCAAGTGCACAATGAAACAGCAGAATGAGCATTTGTGAGATTGGTTCGAGCCTTTTTGGAAGCCCGGCGTGTGTGAGGAATGATAGCTAGATGAGAAGGGGTGAAAGGGGGAGAAAGGGTGAAGTGGGGTAAAACTCAAATAGACCTCTGGACGCGAGTATAGATTTGGCTCAAGGGGATTGCTACTGAGAACGATTCCTCTAAGTAAAATATGGAGGGGAAACTTGGAAACTAGTAAGAGTAACTAAGAATGAAGGAGCGCACGATGTTGTGCTGATGCGATGCGAGCATGAGCGAACCGCCGAAGGTGCGATATGATATGCGACCAAGTGGCCGAAAGTTTGACTGCACGCGAAGATGTGGAGAAAAGCTGAAGGATTTATAAGCGCACTTTTAGCTGATATGCGAAGGAGATGCGACACAACTATAGAGCAGGAGAAGAGTCTGACGATGCGTGCGATGAGTGAAGTTCGAACATTATAGTGCAACTGTTAATACAGCGTGCGATGTAGTCGGCCGAAGGTTTTAGACTTTGAGTCTGAGTGATGCGTGCAAACAGATGATAATTTCGATAGCGGGAAAAAGAAGATACATGAAAAATCATAAGTCTAAGGTATATATGATAGTGCGCATAGCACTGTTCGGAACCGAGAAGATGGCGGTAATATGTATTAAGGGTCCATAACGCAAGTAACGAAACATACACGATATCACCTTCCGAAATATAATCAGTTTAACGCGAATGAGATAAAATACACACCAATGGACAAGCGGAGGACATGGGTAGGACAGAGGAAGGATGTGCGACGGAACCGACGAAAAGTGGATGTGAACTGAAGCACGTGCCGTGAGACGCAGCCGTCGGCCGACAATAGGAAGGATGCGCGCTGTGGTAGTGATAGCGCATGCTGCGCTAGGACCTGAGAGACACTGCAAAAATAGCCTCTACAAGGCTACAAGGACTACAAGTCCTACACCAGGGTGCCATGGTAGATGAGGCAGACCATTTGGATGTGCAAGAAGTGTATGGGACTACATTCTCCTTCAAGTTGTCGTACCCATCCCTGGGTATGCTGAATGGTTGCCACTTCTCTTTCAGTATGTTTGTGCTGGCCTGCTCAAGTTCAGTAAGCTGCATAGCCTCCAATTAACCCGTCGGCACAGGGACACCGCTAGTGTTGTGCAAGGCCCGGCCCAAAATTTACCCAGCCCAAAGCCTTGAGCCGAACCAAGCTGGGCCTACTTAGGCTGAGCTGAGCCTGGCCTTAGGTTAGGGCTCCAGAGGGCTCAAGGCCTGGCTTGCATTTCCTCGAGCTTTGAGCCGCAGGCTTGAGCCCTGGCTTTCAGTACTCACAAATGCCTGTTTATGCCTGTCATATTACGGCATTATCTGTTATTCTGTACAGTACCAGATATATGCTAATCTACCTCTATGTATGTAGGAAGGGTACCCAAACCCCACACTAGGCCATTAAATGGCCCCACGCATCAACTCTCCCACTAGCAACATGGAAATTGAACAAGCGCCAGCTCCCACATGTCCCAAACGGGCCAGCGCTCCGACTGCCAAGGTACTCAGTGCCGATAATGCTGCTGATTTAGAACTTTCCTCACACAGGAAGGCTCACGAAGCAGCAGCAGCCAAACACGTGCACAAACACATGCCGGATGAGTTTGTGCCTGATGATGATGACACTTCTGCGGCAGCTTCCCCCATCAAACATGCAAAACAATGCATCCAAAAATGCACGACAGATGCACTGGCCAGTGCGGATGTTATTGATGCTGAAGGCTTCCTTGAAGACATTGAGGTACTGGACATTGACAAACCGGTGAAGCCCCAACGTGAACAACGCAGTCGTGATATTGATGCATTGTTCTCACCTTCATACCTCAAGGATGGCAAGCGATACTGTGACTGCAATGCATGCACATAAGTGGCCCCATTGAGACTCAACCTTAATGTTAATTCATTTTATGTCAGAAAATCACATAGACAGGCAGTGCCATTTGTCAATAAGGTCACAACCTTGTGCCGCCATCAAGAAGCTGCACATCGGGTGAGTAATCTACTTGCTACCCTCCGTTTCATGCCTAAAATCAGATTGAAACATGCAGGCATCATATCTCAAATGGGCCAAGCAAAATGACTTTCCCTCCATGCTTCCCAAGGATGCCAAGCGCCAGTGAGAGGAAGCTGCAGCTGACAAGCAGATAAACATAGACGGTCACTTAGAGGAGCATGAGCCAAAGGCCCATATTGTTCCATATTCTGATGCCCTGTTTTGAGATGCTGCAGTTGAATGGTTGACAGCAACTGATCAGGTAGTTTGATTTCTGCATCATTTTTCACATGATTTACTCACTTTTGTATCATCTCAAGCCCATTGATGCACTCGAACACCCAGCATTCAAGAATATGATTGACATTGCTGTGCGTACAACAAATGGTGTCAAATTATCTGATCGCAGACAGACATGACGCGCTATCATCGACTTATTCAAGCAGAACCTCACAAACCTTTGCAAGAGGTTATTGGTGCGTGTATACTAGCATTCTGTGATTCAAATTATTGAACTTACCTTCCCATGCATAGAGTGAAGCTGTGAAGGGCTGTGTCAATATGACCTGCGATGCCTGGCAGGCGGAGAACACAGAAGGATACTTCGCAGTGACTGGCCACTGGGTTGAAGAACTCAGTCTTGGTGTCTGGAAGGTAGAGAGTGCACTTCTCGGTTTCACCTGCTTGAACAATGCCCACAATGGCAAGCGCCTTGGTCAAGCACTGTTCAAAGTTGTCAAGCAAGTTGGTGTGGCTCACAAGGTATGTAGTATATTTTCATGTTAACTACGAGGCTCTCAACAGTGTGCTGGTAGGTTGGGTATGTTACATGCGACAATGCGATGAATAATGACACCATGATGGAATACTTCGGTAAGCATATTGAAGATCACACCAAAAAGAAATATGATCACAAGAAACGGCAGCTCAGGTAAGTTTGTTATTTCATGAATCGTGATATTGATTCTATTAATTCATACTCAATCAGGTGCCTTGCACATATAATCAATCTCGCCACACAAGCTCTCCTCACAACCCACAGCCAATCGAAGCATGTTGATGCTACCAAGCCAGATGATGACCTTGTTGCATTGTGTGATGGGCAACGAGATGAAGTTGGCCTTATCCGGCCAATTTCAGTCAAGGTTTGTGTTGATTTTAACTATCTGTTGACACAGCTGATCATTTTGTGAACTAGGAACGTTCTTCAGCCTCCCGCAAGGAAATTTTCCGCAAGATTCAACTGCATGAGGAGGATGGCCATATTCCTGTCATCAATCCTCGGCAACTCCTCCTTGATATGAAGGTTCGATGGTCATCTACCTTTGTGATGCTGCGTCGAGCATATGAACTTCAAGATGTGTGTCTTACCACTTGCATTGTCCCCTTGTCCTCACCCTTCCATTAGGACATAAATTATTTTGTTGGTCAACTTGCATTACAAGAAAAGGATGTCTGCCGGCACAAAAAACTTGCTCACTTGGAGCTGTCTGACAAGGAATGGACTCATGTCCAGGAACCTCTCTTCCTCCTTGGTGTAAGTTTTTGTATTATTTTGACTACTCCTGCTCATGTGAATCAGTTTGCAGAATTGGCGCAGCACTCATTTTCGACAGACCAGGGACCAACACTGCACTTAGCATTGCCTGCAGTCGAAGGACTGCATAATGCATGGTCCTCCTGTTCTGGACGACTCAAGTACATCGATTTTCATGATGCATTGGATGCTGGCATCGCCAAGATTTCGGAATATTACACGAAATCAGCTCACTCAGATGCTCACATAATGTCAATGTGTATGTCTGTCATCATTTGTGTTGTTTGCCCGCATACTAATGATTGAGTCTTATGTTACTACGCTAGTTCTTGACCCCACACAAAAAGCAGCTCATATTAACCGTTATTGGGGCGAAGACATCAGGCATTTGACCAGAGTATGACAAGAATTTAGCTAGCTTTATTTAATGTATAATATCAACAATATTTATCACAATTGTAAACCACATGATAAAGAAATGAATAGGCAGACTACACTGGTGGGATCTCCCACTGCTATAATCTATGCATTGCTGTTAGTTTTTTCGTTGCATGGAAAGAAATCAGATGAATAATTCGACGAAAGAATCTGATTTACAAATCGTAAAGACTGGTACGTATTGACGCTATTTGGGCTGAAAACCCGAAGGGTTTTTCGACCCGAAACATTGTTTCGACCCTGCATAAAAGAGTCCAGGGTGAGCCGTGAGGGCAGGCAGGCCATAGCAGCTCACAGAACGGAAGTTTTCATGCAGAAAATTCATTAGTCGAAAAGATGTGTCGAGTATGTATTGATCTAATCATTAAAATGTCATTCATGGTCACTCTGCGACGAGACGCATGTTGCTGCTAAAGGGAGTGGTGGGTGGGAGCGACAAAATGAGAGTGTAGTCGAGCAGTAGAGCACTTGTGAGTAGTACGTAGTGGTACGAAGCAAGAAAGATGAAAGTCCAAAACAGCTGTGTTGCCGCATAGACTCAATTCTACACGCGTTCTCATGCCTCGAACTTACGTAGAATATAATATTGACTGACCTATAGTACCAAGTTATGATCTACTAGCATATTGTTGTGTTATTGTTAAATTAATCTACTTTTACATAGGCAGCTTCCAACTGCAGAATATATAATCACTGACAGTGTGCTGGCACATTATGCTAGATTATCATG